TGTTAACAGGACAGTTTTTGCATACTTCAATGTTGGAACATTCAGAACAAACTAAATTTGATTTACATTTCTTTGAGGTTATACCCTAAAATCACAATAAGCGTAACACTTGAGTACACGACGATGGTCCTCCACATACACTTTTCTCCAGCCGAGAATTAGAAAACACTTTGAAAAATAGTTCCCTCTTAGCATGTGAGACTTATATGATAATATTGAAATTCTTGAAAAATTTAAATATGGTTATTATTTTAATATCACCATTTTTAACTTGAAATCATTTTGAGATAATATGCTTTCAAGGATGTCTTAATCGAACTCTGCAGGGTGTTCATTTGAAAACCTCCCACCACGGATTTATCGAAAACCACTGATTAAAAAAAAGCCCGTGAAAAGATTTGTCAAGGGAGACAACTTTTTACCAAGAACTACTTCATCCTTGGCCCCCAGGTTCATTCCCTTAAAAATTGATAAGTGATATTGAGTAATAGCTCGTTTGAAAGGGCTTTCGAAGTCCTTTATTTTGACGTTTGATTTTTTAAAATCAGTCGATTCGTCACCGAGGAAATTAGAAAAATCTTTATTTATATTAATTTGTTCAGATAGAAAACAAAAACATCCGAAAATATCACTTTTTATCTCAATAAGTGTTCAAAATGTTGCTCGTTGGGGTTTGCCAAATCTACAATTCGTTTAGAATTTAAGACAGAAACTACCAACATAAACTTAGCAATTCGGAAAATCAGACGTGGCAACAACCAAATGACAACCCGAATTTTTTTCCGCATTCTTTTCATCAACACAGATATCCTGGGCGAACTGTATTTATTGTTATATCAGTTTAGTTATTTGTTGCTATGGGAAAGAAATAATTTAATTTGCTTCATCAGTTACCTTTGTGACTATCTTGGGATAGTGAAAATTAATTTATTGATTCAGATTTTACTTCCAAAATGGTCTACAAACTAGCTGAAAGAGTGGAAATGGTATGGTGCCCAAAATCAATGTGCTCGGCAAACAGCCGTCACGTTTAACGCCAAACATCCAGGGAAGATAACTTCGCATATGTATTTTTTGCACCTTGTTACTAAATTTTTTATAAAACGTGACCATCGGAAAGTTTTGGATGAAGCCGCTCAAGTTGAAGCTTTGGGTCATTTCTTTATGCTTTTGTAAAAGGACATACCCAGTACCCCCAAAAAATTAATGTACGGGCAGGCATTTTAGGAAACAAAGTGATTGGCCCATTGTTTATTAATGAAAATCTGAATGGAGACAATTATTTGGATATGTTGGAAAATACCATCAATCCGCTTATCACTGAAACCATTGAAAACCAAATCGAAGAGCATGAAAACCCTATACTTGATGAGGCTGAAATATATTTCCAGCAAGACGGTTCTCCTTCCGGTTCGGCAATGGCTAGACGACGAGTTTCCAGATAAATGGAGGGCGAAGAGTGCCTATAGAATATCCTGCTAGGTCTCCTGATTTGATGCCATTAGAATTTTTTGTATGGGGCCATTTGAAATCTATTGTGTTTACTCCCTAACCTGAAAGTTTATTATTATATATTTCACAACATGTTTTTGAAAATGTCCGTCAGGAATTTTAACATCGCCTATATCATTGTTTGGCCAATAACGGGCATTTTGAATATTTATTGAAATAAAAAGTGGTATTTTCGTGTGTTTTTGTTTTCTGAACAAATTAAGATAAAGATTTTTCTAATTTTCTTGAAAACGAATCGACCGATTTTAAAAAACAAAGTTCAAAATAAAGGACTTATAAGGACCTTTCACACAAGGTATTACTGATACCCCTTGTCATTTTTGGGTCACCCAGGAGGGCAGAGGGTGAAAGGCGGTGAAGTAGTTTTTGGTTACTTGTCCACCTTGAAAAATTTTTTGACGTGTCTCGCCGTTATTTCTTGTAATCAGTGGGTTTCGATAAATCCGTGGTGGGAACTTTGCAAATGAACATTATTATTATCCCCTAGCTGAACATTTTTAATTACCATACGCGTTCTTTCGATTCGTTCAAAGTATAGTTCGGGCCGAGTTAGCTAACAAGCTGACAGAATCCTCCTTGTTTCCTTCTTTAAGACACTGCTGATAGTCGCAGTTGGAGTGGCATGCACTAAAGAATGCGGAGTACTTAGCTTTTTGCTAGTGTCAGATATTGCTTCATATTTACACAATTTCCATTTTAGTGAATAGAGGGAAGTTTGCAGTGTGCCAAACATTTCACTTCTTTTTTCAAAACTATTATTTCTCACGTTTTTCAGACACTGCATCTACGCAATCATCACAAAACCGTGCAAGGTTTCTGCATTTAGTGATAAGTTTGCAGTAGCTGTTTTTCACACCTGAACAACTGTAATGGATCTGGTTTTCACAAGTTTTGCACTTCAAATATTTTGTAGAAATAATAAAATCATCAGAACAACGACAACACACACACGTAGATCGCTCGCTATCTTGATGCGAATGATATGCATCTCAGACTTTAAACGATAGAGATGATATTCCGAATACGTTTGAATTTATCGGTAAATCTTAAATAAAAGACGTTATAATATGTAAGTACATTTTCCGTATCTGTGAACGCGAACAATCTCCATTATCAAACGCACATAAATTGTAGAGATTCTTTCTCGAATAGAATTAGTAAACATACACCTTGCTATTAAAACTGTATCACGTCATATGTTCGATGAAGTTAAATACAGTAATACAACTTATATATGACTATCATTATCCAATTATTTATCAGATGCTCCGAGGATTACCGATTGTAGTTCACATATTGAACGACTAGATCATTTTCGTAATAACTGCGTTTCAATCCAAGCAAGAATGAACCGTTTATTACAACATCGCATTCAATAAAGTGTTTCGCGTATTTTTGCTTCTGATGTTTCCAGTCTATTCCTGTTTTGTTGCCATACTGCGTTTAAAAAGAGAGAAGAAGAACTGCTTTGTACAGAGCCATTTCTTGTGCTTAATGACCCAATAGCTTTGTTATTTTAATACTTATTTATATACCTAAGGCATGAAGAGGGTGGATGTGAGCCATGGCATGAAATTGAAAGGCAATGCGCGAAGCATCGCGGGCCATAACACGCTGATGGTAGGTACTACCCATGAAGCACATTCAAAATTCAACTTAGATCGCCTAAAATCAGAAGTTTAGAGTAGATTTTAAGTACACACAAGAAAGAGTGATTTTGGTCCAAGAGCAAGATTTCTATCAAATTATGACATTGATAGATCACAGGTACTTCAAGCGAGATAATATATAGGGTGATTCAAATTGGGTTTCCACATTAAAAGTATTTACAAAAAAGAAGAAATTGAAAATTATAAAAAAGTATGTATTTGTCCTTTCAGGGCAGTTCATTACAATTATGCTTGAAAGATGATATCAAGTAAATGACCGCCGCGGCTCATGTAGCATGACGTAATCTGTTTCGAGAAATTTTTGACTACTCGGTGGCACAAATCAGGTCCTATGTTGGTAATTTCGCGTCTGATGTCCTGTTTCAGCTCCACAATTGTGTTCGGGTTATTCTTGTAGACTTTGCTCTTTAAATACCCCAAAGAAAATAATCTAAGAGAGTTAAATCAGAGGATCGCGGCGGCCAATTGATATCGCCGTTACGTCAAATAACGCGACCTGGAAACTTGCCGCACAGTAATTGTATCGTTTCTCCTGATGTGTGACCTAGGCTTCAATTCCTGTGTTATTTGCATAAGTAAGGTCTAGTTGCTGCGATCGATGACGAATCGAGGTTCTTGGATTTTCGGCCACACTTTCGACAACAATAGCAATATTGTGTTCCGACCGACCTCTACGAGGACGCCTAGGGGTTTTGGTGTTAGCTAGGGATCCAGTTTGCTCGAATTTTTGCACCAAATTCCAAACTGTCCTCTCTCAAGGCTGATTTTGTGCGCCAAAAAATTCACGTAAAGCACGAAATGTATTCATTCTTCCTTGATCGGCCGTTTTCATTATCGGCTTGGATAATTTTAACACGTTGTTCGGTCGCATATTGCTTCATGACTGTTTTTTTTATATTTTGACGTTAGAAATGGTACGTTTTCGTTGACAAATTCAGTGACGTTTGAAAAAAAAAATTATTTGTAATGTAAAAACTCAATTTGAATCACCCATTATAATAATATAGCTGTCACAATTAAGAAATGGACTGTAGTTCAAAGAAATATGTCTTAGGCCCGTATCGTCAGTCGTTCCTACAATTGTAGGGCGCCTTTATGGCCTCCTTGATTGTCATAGTTTTCTACTTCTCCGTGTCAGAACTCTATTTTGAGGTTATGTCACAAACATCTATTTGCATCAAATTGTGCTTGCTTTTGAGTTATATTATGTTTTATCAGCCTGAAATTTCCTACAATTTAAAAAGAAAACATATCTTCACAATAGGAGAGCGCTGACGCTGACACGGGACAAGTGTAATCTAGAAATTTTTGAAGGAGATAAAGGGTATGACAGTCAAGGAGGCCATAAACGCGCCCTACAATTGTAGGGACGACTGACGATACGGGCCTTAGAAACATATCAAGGTCATGATCCTTAATTCAAGATAGTTACACTTGAACCAAGAGCACTCTTTTTTGTACGTAGAATTGAAAATTTAAATAAATCGGCTAAACTGTAAGTACAGTTGCTTAGCAATGAATAAATACAGGTTCCATGGTCGCCATATTGTGTTCAACAAATGTCAATCTCCGCCTGGATGTTGTTTTGTGTCTTGTTTTCTACATCACGCACCAGGTTGGTGCAAGATTAAGGATACCTGCATCTTATCGGTAGATGGCTTATGGAGTGTTAGTACTACGGAGTCGGCAAGGACGGTCAAAGGTGGCCAAGTTGTCAGGATTTGCCTCCCCACCACTACTACTAGCAACGATTCAATCATTGGAAAATATAAAGAAAACAAGGAGAAAATTTTCTCTTGGCTCTGGATGTTGTGATTGTCCGTAGGTGGTAGACGGTCTCTGACTGTCGAACGCGGAGGTACCACCCGGCGGATCTCGTAGGCGGAGCCAGAATGTGTGCATGCTGCATGCACACGTGTTCCCTCGCCAGAGTCCGTGTGGCGTCTCCCCTTTCCCCTGTATCCCCCTATAGCCCCACGGTACCCAATGGGTGTTTAGGCCTTAGGCCTTCGTGGTAGTTGAAGTATAAAAAAAATGTTTTATACAACCCTTGTGTTACAGACTACTCTCGAGAGTAGTGAAGGTTCTGTTAATTGCAAATCAGTTTAAACTGAATGAGAGCACATATTTTTATAGATATTATAGTTAACAGCGTTGCGAAATGGCATATATCTCAACATTGGGCCTTTACCTGGACAGTTGTGAGATAATTTTGAGTTATTTTGTTTCACTTCTTGTTTCATTAAGCAGTCAGTCTCAATCTAAGGTTTGTTAACATTTGTATACCTAAGAAAAACATTGAAAAATGCAAAATATTAGAGACAAACCAATGTTTTGATGGATACTGAAAAAACCAAAACTTTAATCCACAGCTTAACTAAACTGAAATTTAACTTTAAATATAAAAGTTTTTAGGAAGGGTACCTTCGCGTTATCATTAGTAGCTTCACGATTCGATCTTAGTGCCACGAGATTCTATGGAGAAAGCTTAGTACACAAAAAGACTATGGATATCAAACTAATTGAAATACTTTATACTTTTCATTGGATATAGTGACAATGATATACTAGCAGGAATTTCCATAAAATGCTCAACTAACTATTTGCTTTCTGCACGGATCACGATAGCAATTTAGAAAAACAAAGTATTCGGCCATTGTTACTCTATTTGATGAAGAATGTTTGGTATTGTTCACCTTCCAAAATTACGAATTACGCTGTAGTTGTTCATATGCTTGTAACTTTAATAAGTATTTACTTCCGTTTTTTGGCTTATTTAGTTTATCCCTGCTTATTAACAATAACTGAGCGATTCGCACCGATAGTATTTCTGCCTTGCTCTACGTGAGTACACCCAGTACTTCTAGCTACTTGAATATCCTTTCCAGAGAAAACAATGTACGCCTATCTATTGGTTTGTCACTTTGATAGACAAGCGTAGGCAAATAGGACAAAAGTGTGCACTAAAACTACACAATTTTGGTGACAAGCGATGCTTGCCTCCTAATCTACTTGGATTCGTTGGATACGACAAATGTAAAATACACTTAAATATGGAAGTTGTATGATTCTACCTCTGCAAGATATCTGTTTCTCGTTTTACACATGTAAGTATTATCATGTCGTTAACGTTGCACGTTTTGGGCGATGGGTATCTTGCCCAGTGAAATGGGAGCGTATTTATCGTGTGTGTATAATGACGCGAAGTGGAGGGGGGAGGGTTGGAAAGGGCATGGAGCAGCCCTGGCATACCGGAACGGACTGCAGATAAGGGAAACCGGAAGCAACCAGAGATCAGAGCCTGCAAGCATCGCCGCAGCTCGTTAGGGGCAGCTGCTGGCAGCTGGTAATGGAATGTTGAAAGTGGGGTGCTCTTAAAATATACATGTTCAATTTTAATTGAGGTTCGATATGTCATGTCTGATTCGCACAGAAAAATTTGTTCACGTAGAGTGACTCAGTATTTCGCATGCACTGGTATAATAGTCCAGGTTGCGAAAATCAAAGGAAGTTTTGGCCTACGAACTAAGCTTAGAAACCAAGCTGAAAATACTTTGCGGGGTTTTGTGAGGAACGGCTTTACTTTTAATTTAGATACTTGGAATTCTAAACAATTATAATTTTCAACATAATTTGTAAGCATTTTTAGGGTTTCAGACATTAAATCGCTTATACTTCGAATAAGGTCAGCTTTTGAGGAAAGTAGCATAGGATACTTCCTGTTCAGAGAGATTCAAGTACCTAAAACAAAATTCGTTGTAAAGTAAGAATGTTTAAATAAATTGGCTCTGTTTTATTGACCGGCTACCTCTTGATTCATATGTATTAAGGGGCATTCAAAAAACGGATTATGAAAAAAATCGTATTGCAAAATTTCTCTCTCGAATGCGAGTTTTCGCCTCATCTGATATCCTAGCATCTCTTCAAAATTAACGGCAAGTAGGTTGATTGCACTTTCTACACAACAGTTCATGAATGACCATAAGTTAAGCCCTCTGAGGGAAAAAAAGTTACGAACAGGTACAACAGAAAAATTAAACCAATCAAGTCAGTCAAACAAGAGTTATACAGGGTTATACAGGGTGTTTCAGTTTATTGTTGCATAACTTTAAGATTCGATAGAACTTTTAAAATTAATGCATAAAGTCTATATAAACATGGGTCGAAAAATGCGTGGCTTCCGAAAATTTACTTTCTAAAATAGTTTTTTTTTTTTAAATATTTCGAACAATATTTGATGTATAACAGTGAAAATTGGTATACAAGGGTTTTTTGGTACGACAATACGAACCATGGGCATAGTTTTACTGTAGCCGCTAGAGGGCGCTCTCTACTGAACCTGTAGTGTATTAAAATTACCGAAAATTTTATCTTAGTGCAATTTTTTGCTTTTTGAATGAAAAAACTGATTCTTCGCACTTTTCAACATAAAAAAGCTCTCGTGAATTTTCGTTGTAGTTAGCCGTTTTTGAGATATTTCGATTTTAAAGGTTGGATGCATTTTTAATTATTTATGATAAAATAACGTTAAAAAGTCAGTATCTCGATAATTTTTAGAAGTAGGCTGTGCCTGCAAATATTTTTGAAATTGAAAGCAGAATAAGGTCAATTAGTTGACAATTAGTTTTGTTGTCTGTTGAAACCTGAAACGTTTTTTGCAATTGTGAATTCACCAAATTTAGTTTCTTTTACCTGTTTTTTTGTAAGTTTTATAAAAATGCCATTTTTATTCTCCAATCAAGAGTTAGCGGATATTCATTTTGTGTATGGCTTTGTAAATGGAAACGCAGCAGAAGCAGCCAGAGAATACGGACGAAAATTTCCAAACAGACGACAACCAACTCGCTCAGTATTTGTACGAGTGCATCGCCAAATAATTGAAAATGGTTTTGGAAATCTCCAAAGGGATCAAAACATAAATGTTCGTCAGCGCAGATTTACCCGTATGATTCTGCGTGAGTTTGATAGAGATCCGACCACAAGTGTTAGGAGAGTTTCTGGTGCCTTGCAGTGGCGGCTCGTGCCAATTCAGTGAGGTAGTGCCAGAATGGAAGCCATAATTTTGAATCGATTCAAAATTGTAAAGAATAACTTATAACTTACCCCTGATAGTTAGTGGTCAAAGTTCTTGAGGTTCAATAAATCTATATGTCCAAAAAAAAATCAAAAATAAAACTATTTACACACGCGCACCAAATTATAAAACAAGTGTGGAGAAGTACCTATAACTTCAAAGTTTTCTATACATGAAGTCCATTCTTCTTTCTTTTTTGGTAGCAAAGTTTTCGATTACCTTATTATTAAAATTTTCAATGCCACTAACAAAATGTTTTTCTGCAGACAGCATTCCTAAAGCACTAAGCCTTTCTTCCTTCATTGTGTTTCTGAGGAAAGTTTTAATCCGTTTCAGCATTGAAAAAGAGCGTTCTGCTTCAGATGTTGACATCGGTATAGTGATTAAAATACTTAAGAGCTTAAGAGTTTCTTGAAACGTACAATTTAATCCTTCCTCGTTCAATAAAATGGATAGTGGAACAGCTCCAGAAGTAGTACTCAATTCTTCTCTCTGATATAATACTTGTAACTCAGTTTTAAGCCTGTTTTTGTCTAAAAATGAAAATTGTGTGCATGTGTCATTTAAATGTGCTTCAGGAAACTGATGTTTATAAACAGAAAACTTTTCAGACACAAATAAATTAGAAGCAACTAAATGCCCAGAAAAGTTAAATCTTGTTCTTATTTGCGATAATACTGCATCGCATATTTCTAACGCTTCCCGTTTTTTGCTGCCTTCTTCAACTTGCCTTTTTTTTCTTGCCGGTTCATCAGTTTCTCTCTGCACTCGTTCAATCTCGTCAATAATGCTATCCATTTGTTCTCGTATAGTTTGAATTGCTGCTTCAAAATTCTCTAAATCATTTTTGACCTTAACAGAATCGGTGCATACTTTTTGTAATTGGTTAAAGACAATTTCAACATGTGGCATTATTTTATGGAATATACTTAGCCAAAATACAAAATTTGTATCTTGCAGCTTTAATTTGTACCCACTGGCTTGATTAATCGACGAAGAATCGCGTGAAGTACTTTCTATATTGTCCATAACTTCAATCAGGTCTTTCCTATTTTCATAAACTGTATGAACACCTCGTGACTGAAAATTCCAACGTGTTTGGGAAGATCTTGGCAATCTGCGATTAACTATTTCATCCAAAATTTTTGTTCTTTGAGGAGACGTCGAAAAAAAAGAGCACAATCCAGATAAATTATGGAAAAATATTCTAGCCTGCTTATTGACAGAGCATGCGCTTGTCATAATTAGATTTAACTGGTGTGCATAGCAATGAACATAATTTGCAAGTGGATAAGTTTCCTTAATAATCTTTTGAACGCCATTCAATTCACCACTCATAACAGACGCACCATCATAGCTTTGAGCTATTAATTTGTTTGGATTTTGATCTATTAATGGATTTACAACATTTAAAACGCATGCAGCGATTGATTTGGCATCGTGTCCGTCGGGGACGTAAAATCTCCAAAATCTCTCAACTGGTTGTCCTTTACACAAATATCTGAAAATAATAACTAACTGAAATTCACAGGCTACGTCAGTCGTTTCATCGGCAATTACTGCAACAAAAGGAGAATTTGCAATCTCCTTCTTAACTTCTTCATGATAAACATCTAGCATGCACTCAAGAAGCTCGTTTTGAGTTGTTTTTGAGGTACCCTTGAAAAGTTTGGCACTTTGAATATGGACTTTCAATTCGTTGTCTAATTCGGCGCTAAAATTCACCAGCTCCTTAAATATGCCTCTGTTTTCCGAATTTTCCTTTTCATCGTGACCCCTTAAGGCTAACTCAAATGCTCCACAAAACCTTATACAATTAATAATTTTATTCAATACATATCGATTCTTATCCACTTGATTATTATGTTTAATTAGATCATTGCGATAAGCCGAATTGAGTTGAGTCCTTATATTTAATTTACCAAGAATAGAAAAGCTAAAAACATTATTCATATGGACT